AATACATGTACACCTCAATCATTCCATACACAAAATATAGTTGACCTATTGCTTATAGTTTCTAAGAAACAAACTTAATCAGGAAAATTTAACATTGTCCAACGAACCATGCCAGAGATATGTACACCTTACAATCAATCTATGCATTAAATATAGTTGACCTATTGCTTATAGTATCTAAGAAACAAACTTACCAGTAACCATGAAAATTTAACATTGACCAATGAACCATGAATATGAGGTCAAGGTCAGATGATACCTGCCAGAAAGACATAAACACCTTACAATCAATCCATACACCAAATATAGTTGACCTATTGCTTATAGTTTAAGAAAAACAGACCAAAACACAAAAACTTAACACTGAGCAATGAACCGTGAAAATGACGTCAAGGTCAAATAAAACCTGCCAGACTTACATGTACATCGAAAAATATTACCACACACCAAATATAGTTGACCTTTTGCATATAGTATTAGAAAAAAAGACCAAAACACAAAAACTTAACTTTAACCAATGAACCATGAACATGAGGTCAAGGTCAGATGACACCTGCCAGCTGGACATGTACACCTTACAATCATTCCATACAACAAATATAGTTGACCTATTGCTTATAGTTTAAGAAAAACAGACCAAAACACAAAAACTTAACACTGAGCAATGAACTGTGAAAATGAGGTCAAGGTCAAATAAAACCTGCGACTGACATGTACATCGTAAAATATTTCCATACACCAAATATAGTTGACCTATGCATATAGTATTAGAAAAAATTCGTAAGGGTTCCGCGGAACCCAGTGTCTCGCCTACTTTTGCTGTTAATCGCAGGCTCAACAAAAATGAGGAAAAAAATTAATAAAAATATTCCTCTCTATACTATCTTTTGATTGTAAGTAGCTTCTGTCCAAGTTTGGTAAAAATCCAGGATAGTTTATGAATCTAATAAATGTTTTAAAAACTTAAACTGCAGACTGTATGTAATGTTAACTGGAAGAAAAACAAAGTCCATTTATAAGAAAAATACAGAAAAAATCGAACAAAATTTTAACAAAATTTTCTTCTAGATACTAGCTTTTAATCATAAACAAGCTTCTGTCCAAGTTTGGTACAAATCCAGGATAGTTTAAGAAAGTTGTTAAAATTCTAAAAACTTTAACCACAGAGTGAATGTAATGTTAACTGGCAGAAAAACTAAGTCCAATTATAAGTAAAATATGGGAAAAAATGGATTTTTTTTTTTACAAAATTTACTTCTGGATACTATCTTATGATCATAAACAAGCTTCTTTCCAAGTTTGGTAGAAATCCAGGATAGTTTAAGAAAGTTATTAAAATTTCAAAAACTTTAACCACAGAGTGAATGTAATGTTTCTTGGCAGAAAAACTAAGTCCATTTATAAGTAAAATACGGAAAAAATGGAATTTTTTTTTTACAAAATTTACTTTAGAATATTATCTTATGATCATAAACAAGCTTCTGTCCAAGTTTGGTAGAAATCCAGGTTAGTTTAAGAAAGTTATTAAAATTTCAAAAACTTTAACCACAGAGTGAATATTTGTGGACGCCGCCGACGCCGACGACGACAACGACGCCGACGCCGACGCCGACGCCGACGGAATGTAGGATCGCTATGTCTCGCTTTTTCGACAAAAGTCGAAGGCTCGACAAAAAAGACCAAAACACAAAAACTCAACTTAAACCAATGAACCATGAAAATGAGGTCGAGGACAGATGACACCTGCCAGTTGGACATGTACACCTTTAAATCATTCCATACACCAAATATAGTAGACCTATTGCTTTAAGTATCTGATATATGGACTTTACCACGAAAACCTAACCTTGTTCACTGATCCATGAAATGAGGTCAAGGTCAGATGAAAACTGTCTGACAGGCATGAGGACCTTGCAAGCTACGCACATACTAAAGATAGTTATCCTATTACTCATAATAAGAGAGAAATTAACATTACAAAAAAATCTTAACTTTTTTTTCAAGTAGTCACTCAACCATGAAAATGAGGTCAAGGACAATGGACATATGACAGATGGAAACTTCATAACATAAGGCATCTATATACAAAGTATGAAGCATCCAGGTCTTCCACCTTCTAAAATATAAAGCTTTTAAGAATTTAGTTAATGCCGCCCCCGGATCACTATCCTATGTCGAGCTTTCTGCGACAGAAGTCGCAGGCTCGACAAAAATTGTTATTCAAACATGCCTACTCTGTTGTTATGACTCATTAGAAAGGGATTTCACTTAACCCATATATTTCATTTTTCAGTACTGTGAAATTTTAATGTTATTAAATCAACCTGTAGCCTAAATACATAAAAATAATAGAATCTGAATCAAGATGATGTATCAATTAATTTTGCTTTATACGTTTTCAAGACAAAATAGTCAACTCAAACACGCCTGATCATAAAAAGGTGTACTGGACTTTCTCTTTTCTATAAAATCATTGCCCAGGTTTAGGATTAAAAAAAAAAAGAAATTTTGCCAGGAGCAGAGATGCAAATTAATGCTTTAAAAAGATCAATCTTTAATCTTTCTGTGGAATTTTTTTCAGCGGAATTTATGCTTATGCACAAAAAAAATCCACATGTTTTTGCACCTACCACAATCGATTGTTTGTGGAAAATTTGTCTTCAATTTAAAAGTTTAAACATCTCTAGGCTCCATACTAAAATTTAAGAAAAACATGTATATGAGATGCATAAAATCCTATATCATGCACCTGTATTAAACTTTTAAAGCCCATAGAAATAGATGTAAACAATTCAAATATACTAACTTGGCCTTTTTTACCTTCTCTAATAAAGAGTTCCATTTCTTTTGTTTAATTTCAACTGAGTATCTGACAGCCTGCAACCTAACTGTGAAAGGGTGATACAGTTTAAAACACATATGATTTTAGTGCCAATTTCACCCAAAAATCTCCTCATCATACTCAGGAATAAATAAACAACAAACACAATCAGCATAATAACCAATTTATTTGTGTTCTAACTGAACACTGAACACATGTATGAGCACAATAGTTTGTCAATATGATGAGCACTAAGTTACAATAAAATCAAATACGTATGTAGCTTAACAATACATGTATTATATTATCGGTAGCCCTTTATCAAATTTTTGTCAAAATCACAAATCATTTTGAGAATAAAATACAAAGTTGAAAATTTTAAGATGTATTACTTTGTATCAATAAGCACTGTTGACTGCTGTTCCTTAAAGATGGTAAAAATATCATGGTGCTTTGACAACAGGAAGTGCATAAACAGTGAAGAATACCTCTATTTAAAAGAAACAAAAACAAGTTTAATAAAAGTTACCTAGCCTACCCTGGATATTGTGTATTCATCAAATAAAACTTTTAGAAAAAACATTTGAGCCCCAAATTGAAACAAAAATGTTTTTGAACCCCATTCAAACAACTATTGCCTTTTGTGGCCAATTTGTAACTTTCAATAGGCTTTCAATGGAAATTATGTACCATATTTGCCACTTAATGATCATTAAATGAAGATTGTTTGTTGAGGGTCTTCCAATCATTAATCCCAAGGCACAAGTTTCAATTAAATTGAGCCTTGGAGTTTTGAAATTAGCCAATCAGAATCAAAGATTACCTCTGGCTATTTTGTTTTGGATTGTTATTTGCTTAAAATACAGTGGCAAGTATTTCACACATAATCAAGACAATAATTTTTTTTTATCCGATTATATTTTTTTTAAGATTGAAACCAGAACTTTTGATAAACAATGATAAAAGTCCCTCCATATATTATCCCTGACATGTTTGGTTCAAATTGGCATACCGGTAGTTTTTTCATGGATGAAAATTAGTATTAATACAATAAGAAAAGCATTCATTTTAAATAAGATGAACATGGGAATCAATGTTTCGCTATAGCAAGATTTGCTTTGTGCAATCTTGGTATACATTTTCAAATACTTTCAGTGTTGACAAGCAAGGTAGTTACAGAGAACTGGCGAATTATAATTGCTTCTAGTTTTCATGTTTTTATCCTATCTGAAAGACATCATGGACATTTTGTGCTTGATTCTTACCACATTTTGATTTATATTAGTTAAATAAGTAGACAAGAAATGAGCTGTCAAATTTCTGTATTTTGAAGGTAACCATTTTTGAACTTAAGAGGACAACTAGTATGAATGAAATTGATTTATTCTAAGGTATGTCGCTTTAAGGCTTGTTTGACTTCTCAAGTGCCATTTTCAATTTTCTTTCAAGGACCATAACTCCTGACTGGTAATGTGAAAATAGTCAATATCGAACTTGACCTTCATTTTGTCATCAATAACAGCATATCAAAATGGTTAAACAGTTCATAATTTATTGCACAGAAACACTATAAAGTACTGTTTAACAATCTATCAAAGATCATAAATGGCAAAAGTGAAAATTGTCTATATTGAAATTGACCTCAATTTTGTCATCAGTAACAACTTATCAAAATTTGAAAGCATTGGTTGAACAGTTCATAAGTTATTGCACAGAAACTGTTGGCAGCCACCCACAGTACTTCATCATTTCAATAACCAACTGTTTCCTTTGGAAAACACTGTTAAAACTGACATCTTAGAATTGTCTATTTCCTTTTTTTACGACTCCAGATGGATTGACCAAAATTAAAACAAAAACAAATATCATACAATATCAAAGGGGCAGTTCTCTGGGGGTAAAACAGTTTAAAAAAAAATCTAAATACATACAAAAATTCATAAATACTAGAAATACCAATGATGCATACTTTGCCTTAAGACATTCTAACCTTTTAACATCTGGAACATACACTGCAATTTAATGAAAATGAAAAATTCATTGTAAATTTCAAATGTTTACAAAAATAATATAAAATAAAATGCTTCGCTAGGCGCAGCTTGATACGACCGCAGAGGTCGAACCCTGAACAGTTGGGGCAAGTATGGACACAACATTCAAGCTTGATACAGCTCTGAATTTGGATTGTGATTAAATATTTGACACAGCATAGGTTTCTGACACAGAAAGAATGTGGTCTAAGAACTTCAATTTTTTTAATTTACCTATTATGGTCCAATGTCCAAAATCAAAATACATGGTTAGATTCAGCATATCAAAGAACCCCATATATTCAATTTTTGTTGAAATCAAACAAAGTTTAATTTTAGACCCCAACTTGGACAAACTTGAAAACTGGTCCCATAATAAAAAATCTACACATGTTTAGATTCAGCATATCAAAGAACCCCAAGAATTCAATTTTTGTTAAAATCAAACTAAAGTTTAATTTTGGACCCTTTGGACCTTAATGTAGACCAATTAAAAAAAACGGGACCCAAATTAAAAATCTAAAAACACGGTTAATTTTGGCATATCAAAGAACCCCAATAATTCAATTTTTGATGAAATCAAACAAAGTTTAATTTTGGACCCTTTTGACCTCAATATGAACCAATTTGATAGCGGGCCCACAAATAAAAAATCTAAATACATGGTAAGATTCAGCATATCAAAGAACCCCATATATTCAATTTTTGTTGAAATCAAACAGTTTAATTTTGGACCCCAATTTGGACCAACTTGAAAACTGGGCCAAAAATCTAAAATCTAAATACATGTTTAGATTCAGCATATCAAAGAACCCCATATATTCAATTTTTGTTGAAATCAAACAAAGTTTAATTTTGGACCCCAACTTGGACCAACTTGAAAACTGGTCCCATAATCAAAAATCTAAACACATGTTTAGATTCAGCATATCAAAGAACTCCAAAAATTCAATTTTTGTTAAAATCAAACTAAGTTTAATTTTGGACCCTTTGGACCTTAATGTAGACCAATTAAAAAAAACGGGACCCAAAATTAAAAATCTAAAAACACGGTTAGATTTGGCATATCAAAGAACCCAAATAATTCAATTTTTGATGAAATCAAACAAAGTTTAATTTTGGACCCTTTTGACCTCAATATGAACCAATTTGATAGGGGGCCCACAAATAAAAAATCTAAATACATGGTTAGATGCAGCATATTAAAGAACCCCATATATTCAATTTTTGTTGAAATCAAACAAAGTTTAATTTTGGACCCCAATTTGGACCAACTTGAAAACTGGGCCAAAAATCAAAAATCTAAATACATGTTTAGATTCAGCATATCAAAGAACCCCATATATTCAATTTTTGTTAAAATCAAACAAAGTTTAATTTTGGACCCTTTGGACCTTAATGTAGACCAATTTGAAAACTGGACCCAAAATTAAAAATCTAAATACACGGTTAGATTCGGTATAACAAATAAATAAATGTGGTCAAAGATTTTACAAATCTAATGCGCCATACTGGTCTTCCTTTATAAATATGCATTTCTTTAAACATAATTTAAAAGCAGTGTAAGGGAAGTAACCAAAACGTTGTATTTGGATTACCTCCCTTACACTGTTTTAAATTATCTTAATTGTTCATTAACCATTACTTTATACATAATTTTAAAGCAGTGTAAGGGAGATAATTTCAATGATGTATTTGATTTATCTCCCTTACACTGCTTTAAATTATGTTTTGTACTAAAGTATTTGTCCATTAATGAGGACAACCTTGTTTTTCCCCCTTTTTTGCCCCTAATTCTTAAACGGTTTGAGCAATAACCCCCCAAAGCAAATCCTAACCATCCCTTTGTGGTATGGAAACTTGTAGTATAATTTCAGAGAGATCCATACACCGTTCCACAGTTATTGTCTGGAATCTAGAAAATGCTTATTTTTGGCCCCTTTTTGGCCCCTAATTCCTTAACTGTTGGTACCATAACCCCCAAAATCAATCCCCACCTTCCTTTTGTGGTATTGAACCTTATGGTAAAATTTCATAGAGATCCATTCACTTAAACTAAAGTTAGAGTGCAAAAACTAATGCGTCTTCGGACGACGACGACGCCAACGTCATACCAATATACGACCACAAAAATTTTTTTGCGTTCGTATAACAACAAGTAAAAAAATTAAAAAATTATATAACAGACTAATACTTCAATGTTATTTTGTTTAAAGACCAAATGCTCTGAAAATATGACTGTGTTGATTTTCTATGTACAGTATAACAACCAAACTGACCACAGTAACTAGATAAGATTACTGTTCCACTAGTTACTTTTCATCTGCTTACATATTATCAAAACAGCTGTTTATTTTGTCATATTCCGTACATCAATTTTGTATTCTGTCTACAACTGTAAAGAACTTCTGATATTGGACATCTTTTAATGTATGAAACTTCTTCTGCCACTGTTATAGCCATACCCGGATGTGAATGTGGAAATTCTTTTCGTGGACACTGTAATTATAAACAATCATCTATAAAAATTGAAGCCTTTGCTGATGTACAAGGATTGTAAAAGCCTGACTACTGAAAAAAATAAAATGCTCCGCTGGGCACAGCTTGATACGACCGCAGAGGTCGAACCCTGAACAGTTGGGGCAAGTATGGACACAACATTCAAGCTTGATACAGCACTGAATTTGGATTGTGATTAAATATTTGACACAGCACAGGTTTCTGACACAGAATGAATGTGGTCTAAGAACTTAAAAATTTTTAATTTACCTATTCAAACCATATCATTATTATTTGCTTTTATATATAAATCAGAAATAACCAATTTAAAATGGAAAATTTTAAAAGAAAAAAAAATCCCCCCCCCCCAAATTTTTTGAACCCCCTTATGATTCATCACCCCCAAACTCAATCCCAGCCTTCCCTTTGTGGTATGGTACCTGCAGTACAATTTCAGAGAGATCCATACACTTGAACACAAGTTATTGTCTGGAAACTAGAAAAATGCTTGTTTTTTGGCCCCAAATTCCTAAACGTTTAGGGCAATTACCCCCAAACTCAAACCCAGCTTTCCCTTTGTGATATGGAACCTTGTAGAACAATTTCATAAAGATCCATACACTTACACACAAGTTATTGTCCTGAAACTAGAAAAATGCTTGTTTTTTGCCCCTTTTTGACCCCTAATTCCTAAAATATTGAGGCAATTACCCCCATCATCAATCCCAGCCTTCCCTTTGTGGTATGGTAACTTGCAGTACAATTTCAGAGAGATCCATAAACTTGAACACAAGTTATTGTCTGGAAACTAGAAAAATGCTCATTTTTGGCCCCTTTTTGGCCCCCAATTCCTAAACGTTTCGGCAATTACCCCCAAACTCAATTCCAGCTTTCCCTTTGTGATATGGAACCTTGTAATACAATTTCAGAAAGATCCATACACTTACACACAAGTTATTGTCATGAAACTAGAAAAATGCTTGTTTTTTGCCCCTTTTTTGGCCCCCCATTCCTAAAATTTTGAGGCAATTACCCCCAAAATCAATCCCAGCATTCCTTTTGTAATATGGAACCTGTACAATGTCAGAGAGATCCATACACTAACACACAAGTTATGTCTGGAAGTTACAAAAATGCTTATTTTTGGCCCCTTTTTGGCCCCCAATTCCTTTACTGTTGGTACCATAACCCCCAAAATCAATCCCAACCTTCCTTTTGTGGTATTGAACCTTGTGGTAAAATTTCATAGAGATCCATTCACTTAAACTAAAGTTAGAGTGCGAAAACCAATGTGTCTTTCGGACGACGCCAACGTCATACCAATATACGACCACAAAAATTTTTTTGCGGTCGTATAAAAACACCAAAGTGCACATGCTGAAATGCCTCGCCTGTTTTACTTATCATTGAATTTATGTTGAAAGTCTGTAATATGAAGGTCTTACTACAAGTATCACATAAATTTAATATTATCAATGTTCTATGATAATGAGGTCATGGTCAGATGAACCAGTCCAGACAGACATGTACACCTTACAATCATTCCATACACCAAATATAGTTAACCTGTTGCTTTTAGTATCTGATAAACTGACAAAATCATGAAAACTTATCATTGACCAATGAACCATAAAAATGTGGTCAAGGTCAGAAAAATACCTGCCAGACAGACATGTACACCTTACAATTATTCCTTACATCAAACATAGCTGACCTATTGCTATTTATATGAAAACCGACCAAAACACCAAAACCTAACTTTGACCAATGAACCATGAAAATGAGGTCAAGGTCAGATGATACTGATTAGACCGACATGTACACCGTACATTCATTCCATACACCAAATATAGTTGACCTTTAGCTTATCATGCTTGTAGTACTTGAAAACAGACCAAAACACAATAAAATGCTCCGCAGGGCGCAGCTTGATACGACCGCAGAGGTCAAACCCTGAACAGTTGGGGCAAGTATGGACACAACATTCAAGCTTGATACAGCTCTGAATTTGGATTGTGATTAAATATTTGACACAGCATAGTTTTCTGACACAGAATGAATGTGGTCAAAGAACTTAAAAATTTTAAATTGGACATTCACCTATTATGGTCCAATATCCAAAATCTAAATACATGGTTAGATTCAGCATATCAAAGAACCCCAAGAATTCAATTTTTGATGAAATCAAACAAAGTTTAATTTTGGACCCTTTTGACCTCAATGTGGACAAATTTGATAACAGGGCCCAAAAATCAAAAATCTAAATACATGGTTAGATTCAGCATATCAAAGAACCCCATATATTCAATTTTTGTTGAAATCAAACAAAGTTTAATTTTGGACCCCGATTTGGACCAACTTGAAAACTGGACCCATAATCAAAAATCTAAATACATGTTTAGATTCAGCATATCAAAGAACCCTAAAAATTCAATTTTTGTTAAAATCAAACTAAGTTTAATTTTGGACCCTTTGGACCTTAATGTAGACCAATTTGAAAACGGAACCAAAAATTAAGAATCTAAATACATGGTTAGATTTGGCATATCAAAGAACCCCAATAATTCAATTTTTGATGAAATCAAACAAAGTTAAATTTTGGACCCTTTGGACCTCAATGTGGACTAATTTAAAAACGGGGCCCAAAATCCAAAAACTTAATACACGGTTAGATTCAGCATATTAAAGAACCCCAAAAATTCAAGAATAAAACCCCATTGAAATTGATCAAGAAATAAGCAATTTATACGAAGTATCTTCTGTTGCACAATACTGTGCAATTGAACATTTCTTGCTATTGCGCAATACTGTACAATTGACAATTTCTTGCTATTGCGCAATATTGTGCTATTGGATATTTCTTGCTATTGCGCAATACTGTGCAATTGAAGATTTCTTGCTATTGCGCAATACTGTGCAATTGAAGATTTCTTGCTATTGTGCAATACTGTGCAATTGAAAATTTCTTGCTATTGCACAATACTTATAATATAATAATTTACACATCCTGTTTGGTGTGTATCTCCTACCATATCATTATTATTTGCTTTTAAATATAAATCAGAAATAACCAACTTAAAATGGAAAATTTTAAAAGAAAAAAAAAAGGAAAAAAAGAAAAAAAAAAAATCCCCCCCCCCCCAAATTTTTTGAACCCCCTTATGATTCATCACCCCCAAACTCAATCCCAGCCTTCCCTTTGTGGTATGGTACCTTGCAGTACAATTTCAGAGAGATCCATACACTTGAACACAAGTTATTGTCTGGAAACTAGAAAAATGCTTATTTTTGGCCCCTTTTTGGCCCCCAATTCCTAAACGTTTCGGGCAATTACCCCCAAACTCAATTCCAGCTTTCCCTTTGAGATATGGAACCTTGTAGTACAATTTCAGAAATATCCAAACACTTACACACAAGTAATTGTCATGAAACTAGAAAACTGCTTGTTTTTTTGCCCCTTTTTTGGCCCCTAATTCCTACAATTTTGAGGCATTTACCCCCAAAATCAATTACAGCCTTCCCTTTGTGATATGGAACCTTGTGGTACAATGTCAGAGAGATCCATACACTTACACACAAGTTATTGTCTGGAAGTTACAAAAATGCTTATTTTTGGCCCCTTTTTGGCCCCTAATTCCTTAACTGTTAGTACCATAACCCACAAAGTCAATCCCAACCTTCCTTTTGTGGTATTGAACCTTATGATTAAATTTCATGGAGATCCATTCACTTAAACTAAAGTTAGAGTGCGAAATCCAATGTGTCTTCGGACGACGCCGGACGACGACGCCAACGTCATACCAATATACGACCAAAAATTTTTTAATTTTTGCGGTCGTATAAAAACTTACCATTGACCAATGAACCATGAAAATGAGGTCCAGGTCAGTTGAAACCTGATAGACTGACATGTACCCCTTACAATCATTCCATACATGTACACCACATTTAGTTGACCTACTGCTTATAGTATCTGAGAAACCAACCTAATCTCATAACTTGAACCATGATCACTGATCCATAAAAAAATGATGTCGAGGTCAGGTGAACCCTCTCTGATGGACATGTAGGTGTTGCAAGGAACCCATATACCAAATATAGTTATCCTACTACTCATAATAAGTGAGAAATTCACATGACAAAAACACTTTTTTTTTCAAGCAGTCGCTGAACCATGAAAATGAGGTCAAGGACAATGGACATATGACAGGCAGAAACTCCGTAACATAAGGTATCTGCATACAAGGTATGAAGCATCCAGGTCTTCTACATTGTGAAATATAAAGCTTTATACAAATAATTTATCGATACTGCCGGCGGATAGTAATACCTATGTCTCGCATGTCACAGGTGAGACAAAAAAAACCCAACAATACACAGTTAGTAATAAATATTAAAATTGACACTCATAATTTTTTACCACCTTCTTTCCCTTGATTTCCAACAAATTAAGCTGACTGTTTGTGTCATATACAGGCATATGTATGGAATGAGCGTCTTTCATCAATTTGATTTATAATAGATAAATGGTGAAATATAATCTCTTTTTGGTGTAACTATGGCAACAATCTCCATTTAATTGATATAAAATATTGCAAAAAAAGGGGATGAAAATGTCACAACTGTTCCCAAAATTTGGTTCAAAGTAAAATTTCAATCCATTTGAGTGAAACCTGTTCTGAAACCCTTGACCTTTATCTATAATGGGATCAAATAAAAAAAAAGCATTTCACCTCATTTTTCCAAAAAATTACATCCAAAAGTCGAGCACAAAAAATTGTTAGTTAACATAACAATAATTTCTGAACATATGGTCGGTATGGATATAAAAATATAGAATGTCGAACAGAACATAGCTAATATAACATGTAACAAACTATCTTGATGTTTATATAAATCCAGGCTATAACCCCAAAAATCAATCCCAACCTTCCTTTTGTGGTATGGAACCTTGTGGTACAATTTCATAGAGATCTATACACTTATACTCAAGTTATTGTCTGCAAACCAAATGTCTTCGGACAACGACATCACCATACCATTATACAGCCGCAAATTTTTGCGGTTGCATTAAATTCAGTCACTGAAGCATGAATGAGGGAGAAAGCCTTATTTCCTCTCAAACACTGATGTGCATGGATTCTTAGCAACAGTATACCAAAATATCAATAGTGTATTATAATACTTCTTTATAAACACATCAAATCAGTTAGCTTAACCTATAATTATTGAAGTCAATGGAGCAGGACTGAAAGGGGTATATTCATACAGCATAAAATTGAGATGACTGGATGCTGTTGCAACTGTCAATAATGTATTGTAAGAACTTAGCTAGAAATGGACTAACAAGAAAACTTAAAATTAGGTGTTGATGATGATGATACTGACTGCTATATTCTGTTCTTATCAGTATAAAAAATACTAATTTTAAAGTCTTTTGTATAACCCAGAAGAGAATTGAACCCAAAACCTCCTGTAGCCATGAAAGAACTTTACCACAAAACTATCAAGGTGAATGGTTAGATATTTTTGTTTTCACTTTAACGAAATATGAAGAAACTTCTTATAAATATAAACAAGTCAGCCAATACAAAGATTTAGGTATACATTTTTAAACAAGAAATAAAAAATTTTCCATACCTTTCTAGGAATAAAGTATGGAGCATCTGTCTCCAATAACAAGCGTTCCAACGGTATAAATCTGGCTACTTCATGTGTAGAGGTAGCTGATTTATAAGTAACAAGTGGTGTAAGTCCTATAAATAGATTAGGAAACATATCCATCCATTTCTTAGCAGATTCATAGTTCCCAGTGAAGCAATGGCAGTGTATTTTATAATTCTTTGGTACCATCTGAAAATTAAACAAGAACATGTATCTATTGGACACACTGCCCAGCTCATACTTTCACATTTCAATGTCCATTGAACCAGATGGGTCAAAACCTTTATTTGGTATGTATTATTTACTTAAATATTTCAAATAATGAACATGTGTACTAAGTTTCAAGTTGTTAAGACCACAACTTCATGGTCAACTACCTTAAGCCAAAACTTTTACCTTCTAAATTACACGAGTGTAAAAAATTGTCAATCATATTTAAAAACATTTTACAAGTCTAAATTTAACAAGAGTGCACACGCTGAAATGTCTCGCCTTCTTTACTAATCATTGATATTATGTTGATAGTCCTAAATATAAAGCTTTATTACAACTGTCACATAAACTTAACATTAACCAAGTAAACTAAACATTGACCAATGAACCATGAAAATGAGGTCAGATCAGATGAACCATGCTAGGCAGGCATGTACAGCTAACAATTCTTCCATACAACAAATATAGTTGACCTATTGCTTATAGTTTAAGAAAAACAGACGAAAACACAAAAACTTAACACTGAGCAATGAACCTTGAAAATGAGGTCAAGGTCAAATAAAACCTGCGTGACTGACATATAGATCATAAAATATTTCCATACACCAAATATAGTTGAACTATTGCATATAGTATTAGAAAAAAAGACCAAAACTCAAAAACTTAACTTTGACCACTGAACCATGAAAATGAGGTCAAGGTAATATGACACCTGTCAGCTAGACATGTACACCTTACAATCATTCCATACACCAAATATAGCTGACCTATTGCATGCAGTATTAGAAAAAAGACCAAAACTCAAAAACTTAACTTTGACCACTGAACCATGAAAATGAGGTCAAGGTCAGATGACACCTGCCAGCTAGACATGTACACCTTACAATCATTCCATACACCAAATATAGTAGACCTATTGCATACAGTATAAGAAAAACAGACCAAAACACAAAAACTTAACTATAACCACTGAACCATGAAAATGAGGTCAAGGTCAGATGACACCTGCCAGTTGGACATGTACACCTTACAGTCCTTCCATACACCGAATATACTAGACCTATTGCTTATAGTATCTGAGATATGGACTTGACCACGAAAACTTAACCTTGTTCACTGATCCATGAAATGAGGTCGAGGTCAAGTGAAAACTGTCTGACGGGCATGAGGACCTTGCAAGGTACGCACATACCAAATATAGTTATCCTATTACTTATAATAAGAGAGAATTTAACATTACAAAAATTCTGAACTTTTTTTTCAAGTAGTCACTGAACCATGAAAATGAGGTCAAGGACATTGGACATGTGACTGACGGAAACTTCGTAACATGAGGCATCCATATACAAAGTATGAAGCATCCAGGTCTTCCATCTTCTAAAATATAAAGCTTTTAAGAAGTTAGCTAACGCCGCCGCCACCGCCGCCGCCGGATCGCTATCCCTATGTCGAGCTTTCTGCGACAAAAGTCGCAGGCTCGACAAAAATGCATTTACTGCCATTTGAAATTGTCAAAAACAACCCCATATCGTAAATCAGAATTAATTTGGAATTTATAATCAACTTGAAAGTTATGGTTTACACTTCATTTCTCATAATCCTAAGTAATTTTCAATTCTAAGCAATTAAAATAATTCGAATTTTAAACTGTTTTATGCCACATATCATTCTAAAATAATTTTACAAAAAAAAAAAGAGACAAGAAATTGCCGGTAGTTTTAGGCTGCAAAACAGCAGACACAGGTTTGTTTATATGGTGACCTGTGGTATAAATTTGAAGTAAAAAAAAAATAACCCTGACTTTCAAGTTCTCGAAAAATGACCGAAATTACATGATTTAAGGAGTAAGTTCAGTAAGAGCCATATTTGACCTAGATTATTAAGATCAATTTTTTCAAGATAAACAAGAGTGCACACGCTGAAATGTCTCGCCATCCTTACTAACCATTCATTTTATGTTGATAGTCCTTAATATAAAGCTTTACTACAAGTAACACATAAACTTAACATGATCCAAGAAAATGAGGTCAGATAAACCAGAAATACATGTACACCTTACAATCATTCAATAAACCAAACATATTTGACCTATTAATTATAGTTTCTAAGAAAGACTTAAACAAGAAAACTTAACATTGACCAATGAACCATGAAAATGAGATCAAGGTCAGATGATACCTGCCAGACAGACATATACACCCTACAATCCTTCCATACAACAAATATAGTTGATCTATTGCTTATAGTTGAATAAAAACAGACCGAAACACAAAAACTTAACACTGAGAAATGAACCGTGAAAATGAGGTCAAGATCAAATAAAACCTGCGAGACTGACATGTACATCAAAATATTTCCATACACCAAATATAGTTGACCTATTGCATATAGTATTAGAAAAAAAGACCAAAACTCAAAAACTTAACTTTGACCACTGAACCATAAAAATGAGGTCAAGGTCAGATGACACCTACCAGTTTGACATGTACACCTTACAATCATTCCATATACTAAATATAGTAGACCTACTGCTTATAGTATCTGATGTATGGACTTGACCACGAAAACTTAACCTTGTTCACTGATCCATTAAATGAGGTCGAGGTCAAATGAAAATTGTCTGACGGGCATGAGGACCTTGCAAGGTACGCATATACTAAATATAGTTATCCTATTACTCATATTAAGAAAGAAATTAACATTACAAAAAATGTTGACTTTTTTTTCAAGTAGTCACTGAACCATGAAAATGAGGTCAAGGACAATGGTAATATGATAGACGGAAACTTCGTAACATAAGGCATTTATATACAAAGTAGGAAGCATCCAGGTCTTCTAGCTTCTAAAATATAAAGCTTTTAAGAAGTTAGCTAACGCCGCCGCCGGATCACTATCCCTATGTCGAGCTTTCTGCGACAAAAGTCGCAAGCTCGACAAAAATGTTAAGTTGATGAAAAGACATGCGAGAAATTAGATAGAACTATTTTTATCAAAGTTTTATTTTAAAGCATTGATTTTTACATCCCAAATAGGTCAAAAATAGAGATTATTGCTTAATTAACAAAATTGTCCTCATTTCAAAATAGATACATAGAGTGCAGTCGTCCACAAACTAAATATACAAGTCAGACTGAGACATGTTAAGAGATCTTTTTGTCAACGCATATGCTCTCTATGTTTCCAGTCCAAAAATACAATGGAAATTTACCCGTTTTAATTGAATTTTTTAGGAAAATCATAATGAGTGTTATTCATGACATCATGACTAGAATGCAAGTACGTTAATTTTCAACAAAAAGAAATATTTCCTATCAAGTCATTGTATTAGGTATGATTCATTGTGATATTGGTTAATAAATTCTAATTTGAAATTTTAGCTATATAAAGGGGCCATTTTAGGGCCATATTGAATCTACTCCTTTTCTGACCCTATGCTTCAATTTTTACAGTCATAAAATGTCATGTTAATCCATTGCCCAAAAAGATATTTACACAGGAAAAGTGTTTTGAGGCTACCTATTCACTGGCTAATAACTTATTTGGGTGATACATGTGCTCTAATTAGCCAAATTTTTTTTGGAAACTTATTCTATTTGAGATAACAATCTGAAAATTTCCAGTATGAGTTACATCTTTCTTTCATAATCAAAGCACTGCATGTGCTGTGGGCAGTTAATAGAAAACCAAGGCAAAGTAATGATGAAAATTGTAGAAGAGTTGGTTTACCGGTAGTTATTTATCACAACTTATAATAAAATGCTTCACAGGGATCAGCTTGATACAACCGCAGAGGTTGAACCCTGAATAGTTGGGCAAGTAATATTGGACACTACATTCAAGCTTGGTTCAGCTCTGAATTTGGATTGTGATTAAATATTTGACACAGCATAGGTTTCTTACAATGAATGAATGTGGTCAAAGACTGAAAAATTTGAAATTAGACTTTTACTTATTATGGTCCAATATCAAAAATTTAAATACACTGTTAGATTCAGCATATTTAAGTACATCAAGAATTTAATTTTTGTTGAAATCAAACAAAGTTTTATTTTTTACCCTTTTGATGACGATATGACCAACTTGAAAAATCTAATACATTGTTAGATTCAGCATATAAAATAAACAGCTGCGCCATGAGCACATGATATCCCGTCGCTTTTTCAAAGAATAAAGTTCAATAACTTCTCAATGTCACATCATAAATTGATGAAAAACTAAAGGGAGGTTATCTTAATAGATATAAACCAGTCACCAAAGTTTCATGAAAAACTGCTCAAAGCACTTTAAAGATATTGTCCGAAAAATGGAAAATCACCCCTTTTTGAAGAATAAAATTGCATAACTCGGAAACGTAAAATCTAAAATTTATATAAACAGTTCACCTAAGTTTCATTAAACTGCTGAAAGTTTTTTTGAGTTTTTGTCCGAAAACTGGAAAATCCCCCTTTTTTAATGAATAAAACCCCATAACTCAGAAATGTAAAATCTAAAATTTATAAAAAACGAAAGGGAGCGTACGTCAATAGATATAAACAATTCACCAAAGTTTCTTGCAAATTGGTAAAAGCGTTTTTGAGTTATTGTCCGAAAACTTGAATCCCCCTTTTTTAATGAATAAAACCCCACAACTCGGAAACATAAAATCTAATATTTTTAAAAAACAAAAGGGAGCTCACGTCGATAGATATAATTCACCAAAGTTTCATGCAAATTGGTTAAAGCGTATATGAGTTATTGTCCGACATGTTGACAATGGACGGACAGACAACGGTATACCATCATACGTCTCGTAAACGAACTTATAAAAACCCCAAGAATTCAATGTTTGACTTCAATTCAAACAAAACTTAATTTTGGACCCCAATTTGGACCAACTTTAAAACGGTGACAAAAATAATTTGATTCAGCATATTAAAGAACCCCATTGAAATTGGTCAAGAAATGAGCAATTTATACAAAGTTCTATAAAATGCTTGTTTTTGGCCCCTAATTCGTAAACGGTTAGGGCCATAACCCCCAATATCAATCCCAACCTTTCTTTTGTGGTATGGCACCATGTGCTACAATTTCATAGAGATCCATACACTTATACTCAAGTTATTGTCTGGAAACCAAATGTCTTCGGAATATGACATCACCATACCATTATACGGTGGCAATTGTTTTGTGGTTGTATAAAAAATCTCAAGTATCAACACTTTTTTTATACTGTGTTATCATACACACTTTTCTCATCAACTATACCATTTGTTTTCAAAAACTGATACCAGGTTTTAAGTTACTCAAAAACAAAAATCCTTTTTAAAGTATCAATGTCTGAGAAGATGTAAGTATATGTAAGCGTAAGCATGTCTCCATTGAATAATTGAAGAAAGCAAATGCATCTATAATGGGAATTTATGAAAAGGTGATTTAGCGATTTTTTGACCGAAAATTATAGCACCATGGGCCAGAAATAAAGGACAGTTCTAAGACTGATAGGTCTAAGGACCACTCTCCAATATTATATTGGCCTGGGGAGAACACTGAGTTTGGTTGACGTAAGTTCTACAGTACAAAATTTATGCTATTCTTCCTTTCTATGAACAAATAAATGTGGATAGTGTCCACATGTGGACACAAATGATGCCCCCGCTTGCATATCATATAGTTATAAAAGGACATAACTGAAGAACGGTAAAAATTTGAACTTGATCTGAGTTTTGTGGTAATAAGCATTGTGTGTAAGTCTCATAACATTTGGTTGAGGCTAACTTAAGTAAAGAACAGAAACTAAAAATTCAGCAATTTTTCTATTTGTAAACACGCATAACTCTAGAACGGTTGTGTATAAGTTTTATATCATTTGGATGAGACAAACTAAAGTTAAAGAACGAGCGAAAAATTCAGCAATTTTTATGTTTATAAAGGAACATAACTCAAGAATGGTAAAAGTGTTGCCATCAAATTTCGTACTTAATCTGTATTATGTAGTAATAAGCAATTGTATACAAGTTTCATAACATTTGGTTGAGGCAAACTAAAGTTAGAAAACAGAAACAAAATATTTGTACTTGATCTTAGTTTTGTGGTAATGAATATTGTGTATAGGTTTCATAATGTTTGGTTGGGGCAAACTCAAGTCACAGAATGGAAACTAAAAATTTTGCAATCTTTCGATTTATAAATGGGCATAACTCAATAATGGTTAAAGTGACACTACCCAAATTCAACTTGATCTGTGTTTTATCAGTGGTAGTCAAAATTAAACATTGCATTGTATAAAGCATTGATTGTAGTTGACTCAACTATAATCATTGACAAAGGAAGATAACTCCAATTTTAATAAACTGCTTTGCTGAGTGCAGCTGGATACGCCCGCAGAGGTCCAACCCTGAACAGTTGGGGCAAAAATGGACACAATATTCAAGCTTGATACAGGTCTGAATTTGGAATGTAATTAAATATTTGATATATTATAGGTTTCTGAATAAATGTAGTCAAAGAACTTGAAATTGGTTATATGAAAGATTTCTTGCTGTTGTGCAATACACTGTGCTGTTGCGCAATACTAAGTAAATCTGTTGTCAGACTATAAACAATTAAAATCTTATAACTCAGAAACGTAAAATCGAAAATTTATAAAAATCAAAAGGGAGCTTACAAATATAAATATAAACAATTTATCAAAGTTTCATAAAAAAATGCTGAAAGCATTTTTGAGTTATTGTCCGAAAACTGGAAAATCCCCCTTTTTGTAATGAATAAAACCCCATAAATCGGAAACGTTTAGTCTGAAATTTATAAAAATCGAAAGGGAGCTCATGTCGTTAGAAATAAACAATTCATCAAAGTTTCTTGCAAATTGGTGAAATTGTTTTTGAGTTATTGTCTGAAAACTGGAAAATCCCCCCTTTTTTAATGAATAAATCCCCAAAACTCAGAAAACAGTAAATCCAAAATCTATAAAAAAAACAAAAGGGAGCTCACGTCAATAGATATGAACAATTCACAAAAGTTTCATGCAAATTGGTGAAATTTTTTTTGAGTTATTGTCCGAAAACTGGAAAATCCCCCCTTTTTAATGAATAAAACCCCAATTTTTCCATTTATAACGGGGCATAACTCTAGAACAGTTAAAGTGACGCCACCAAATTTCAAACTTGATCTGTGTTTTGTGGTAATAAGCATTGTGTATATAAGTTTCATAACATTTGGTTGAGGCAAACTCAAGTTAGAGAACGGAAACCAATTTTGAGACGTACGTACGTACAGACGGACAAGGGTAAAACTTAATGCCCCCACCGCTACAGCCGGGGCATAAAAAAAAAACTAACAAGTCCAATGACACTGTTGTCTGAAGTTGTGGAACTATAGCCAAGTTCGGATAACTTTTTTTGACCAAGGATGTATATTAAACTAACAATATACGTCATTGCTTTGACCAAACCGAATTTTGAAGAAAAAAAACTTCACTTCCCTATTCATAAGGTTTTGAAGAGTAACCATTCTTTAGAATGGATTTCGGTTACTTACATTGCTAATTTTAGATCGCGATAACAGTATGCAGTTGATATCCGAAATCTGAAATTACGGGGTCAAACACGATCGGAAGAACAAGAAACCCCTGAAAAAGGATGGAGAGCTATGCTCGATATGTCAGTGTCACAGTGTTAAATAATAGAAATATATATCTCTTGTTAAATTCAATAAGATATATTTGTCTCATATAATATTGTTTTAGTTCTTTCAATAAAGATTATAAAACAACAATAGATCTGATTTTATGTGTTGTTTCCCGCGCTTCCTTTTGTCTCCATGACATAAGAATTATAAAATAGAATGTTATCGATCTATAAATAAATTTTTCAATGACCCATATGTAAAATATTTATAGCTGTTTCCGTATAGGCAAAGTAGTAAAGGGGCCCTTTACAGGTTTTTGTTTGACGTGAGAAATTTTTTAAATTAGAATTGATTATTTTTTCACCAGTAACAAAGATAAAACCTTAAACTTAAAAAAAACAACCGAAAACAATGCATACAAGATAAACTCTGACCTTCTGTCACGTGACCAAAAACTTGAACTTAGCTGTTAAATCATTTTATTTTCCAACTTTAACAACTTCATTTGACAAAGCCTGTTATGTAATAAAATGGAATAATATAATAGAGGAAGGAAAGCGTTAATAAAGTGATCAATGCATGACTGCCAAAAGACTGCCACATGACTGCTACATTTAAACGACACTGTAATAGGCACGATTCATGTAAACAAAGTTGCAATATAGTATTGATCACAGCTTAACGTTTGTTATAAATCCTTGAAATCTACTTTTCGTCTACTAGTTTAAAATTACAGCCAAACTATATCCTTGCGCAATTTGTCATTTGGTAAATGTAAACGACTTGTATATAGAAATTTTTCAGCGATGAATTATTTCATACACTTGTTCTTTAACATTGTTATCAAAAGCACAGAAGATTAAACTCAATGTAAGACTTTCCGTTAAGCACTATTTCCAATGTGCAACGTCATTGATTTTGGGTTGTTCGACGATCATTTAAGGTTATATTAGACATATTTTTTGTATTCCAGAACTAAAAGAATGAAAAAAGTGTCCAATTAGTTATACATGAATTACCAGCCTGCTAGATAAGGACAATGACACCTATTTCAGTATTCCCGAGGAAAAATGCAAATCTAGAGTGCTAGCATAAGGCAGCTTAACTGCCTAAAAATCCAAATACAGCCAAATAATATAAACACTTTCCTTAACTAGCATTACTTTAAGTGTAATTTCATTGTTTAGAACATGTACATTACCAGTTATAACATTTTGCTGCATATTTTTTGTTTGCTTTAACATGTACAATGTATAAGTAAATTCACTGTATCTCCTTTTTAAAAATAAAAAGAAACAATTTTGTAATTATAAGTTTACAGCATGAACAGTTGCCACTACACAGATTAAATATAGAATCTTAACCTCTTCCAATATGGCTAGTGTATCTTGTTCAGCATCTCTACAGTGTATAACTAATGGTTTGTTCATATCAAGTGCTATCTGTATCTGCTTTCTGAATACTATCTGTTGTACCTCTTTATGTTTCTCAAAGCTACAATATGTCAATAGAAGTTTCATAGTTTAATATAAAATACTTAAGACTTAAAAAGTAATTATAAATGGTTCTTTTGTAAGATTGTTCAATGCTGGGCAAGACGTTGTATGTTAATAAACCAGCAAAATTTAATGTAGTCCACTGCAGCCAGTCATGTTTAGTTTTATTATCTGAATATCAGTATGGGCTATTTGATCTTTCACCAGACTAAGGTTCATATGTTGTACTGTTACACCACTGTCTCAGGTAAGGGGGAGTGGTGGACAATTTTTGCTGTATACTGTAAATTCAGAAATTATTGCGTGCATTTATTATTGCGATTTTAATTTTTACGATTTTGAGAAAAATCCTGTTTAGTTCATATAAAATATTTCAAAATGCGAGTTTAGATTATTGCGTTTACAACTCTGTTGCATTTATCGCAATAATAAAAACCTCGCAATAATTTCTGAATTTACAGTATCATATTTGTTTTTCTTTTATTGTTTGTACAAAAATCAGACTGTTAGTACTCTCATTTGAATTGTTTTACATTTGTCATTTCGGGGCCTTTTATAGCTTATTATATCGTGTGGGTTTAGCTCATTGTTGAAGCCGTATGGTGACCTATAGTTGTTAACTTCTACATCATTTGGTCTCTGATGGAGAGTTGTCTCACTGGCAATCATACCACATCTTATTATTTTTATAAGGAACTTTATTGTAAGTTGAAACAATTCTAAACAATAACTAATTATTAACTACTCTTTTATTAGATTTTTATGATAAAAACTGCCTATGCAATACAAAAGTGTCAACTCGGCCAATATAGAATAGCTCATCCAATTTTGATCAGTTGAGGTCCAATCTGGCCAATACAGGTTTTCAGAATTTCTCTGGATTTTCGAACAAAAGTTATGATTAACGCCAAGATATGTAAAAGACATGCTAAATGAGGTCTTATTGACAAAAGGACCAATACTGACCTAGGCCATTGGCTGAGGTCAATATTGGTTCTGTTGTCCATAATATCCATTAACAATAAGTTTTGAAATTCCTTCTTTTCTTTTAGAATGTAGTACTAAAACAAGAAGTGGGGCAAAACTTGGGAGATTATAGACCAGTTCAGCCCAAAGTATTTGAAGAACCAATGGAGGAGAAAAATTTCCAGTACACATCTATAAAGAATTCAGACGTCATAGGCCAATGCTAGACAATGATTCTCAATTTTACTTGAGACCATTAATTGAATCAAAAACAGATTTCTGGGTCTCCAAACAATGAATAGGAAAGGACAAGTTAGGGTGTATTTATATGAAAAACATGGCTGACAATAATGATAAATCTGACATATCTGATGGACAAATTGCATGAAATTGCCACTGAACTTGATAATGTAAATCAACCATGCAGTATTGTATCTATAGTTGAATCAAGATCATGTTTAGCATTAAATGTCAAATTTATCAAGCAATCAAATACATGAAATAGTCAGAAAAACAAGACAATCCATTGACATGATTGACACTGTTTTTATGGGGCAGTAATTAGCGGTGGTCCCGTGCATATCAATATTGTCTCTGGCAGTAATGAGAAATGGAAAACATGTACCAGCACTGTGACCAGTAAAATTGTATCATCTCAAGAGTAACAGAACACAAATGTCAAACTAGTTACATTAACATTGTTCCTGGGAAGAAACTTGCCAAAAAAGAATTCTAGTTAATCATTCTTCTTTATCAAATATTGAACAACTTTAATATTTCTGTATTTTGTCCTAATCCTGACTTGGTAAATGTTTTTTTTTAATTTTTATTTTTTGGGAGGAGAGGGGGGGGGATAATACTAAATAGAAACCAACTTTGTAATAAATACTATCTCCAGACATGTCAAAGTTCGAAAATATAAAAAAAAACTTTTTTGTGCATGTCCCCTTAATTTTTTTAGGACATTGCTATAAAATAAAAGGTAAGGGTTCCCTTGCCATCCTGACAAATCATGTGGGAAATGCCAAATCTTAATGCTGAAAGTTATATTTCATGAAAAATTTTGATGACAACACAATCTTCATATAGCAGTCATGTGTTATAAATGCTTCCTCTTCCAAAGCCTTGCTTTACAGAAACCCTTTGGTTTTTGAGTCAGGGTTTCCATATGTAGTTTACAGGAAGCACACACCTATTACATATCTTCCAGAAAAAAAAACCCATATTTTTAGAGATTTTATCTAGAGACCAAGAGTTTGGAGCCATTTTTAGCAGCTCTGACCATAAAATTATAACCTACTCCTTTTCCTACTTTCAACTTGTATAAGTTTCATTAAAATCGAATTAAGGCCCCACCTGGAATTCTGAAAATTTTAACCCCAGCAAGATTTTCCATAACTTTTTCCAAGATAATAGACAATACTTGCTGTAAACCTATATTCTATTTTGGCCTTGGTAGCCATGTTGATTGGCAGGCAGGTCATTGGCCATCTTTTAATCTTTTTAACTGTATTATATTGTTGTTTCTTTACTGAAAATTGATGTTATATATATATGTAATGACTATGCAAGTAATATGATTATAACCTTACATGCCAGAATAGTCCAACCCTATTTCACCAAGGGCCACAACTTTTGGATTCATGAGACAGAATTTAAGGTTCATTTCTGTTCTATCTGTGAATTCTGTAGCATTCTTTGGATGACAGCCGAATGTTATCCAGACATCTTTCTCCTTGGCAATCTCATTCCATAATCCTATAATAAAAAGTTTTACTTGTATATCATGGATATGAAAACTTCTATCATAATTTGTCCTAAGCATTGTATAGTTGGCCAATAAAAAATTGCAAGGAAATTATTGTGTACTTGTAATTTTTTTTTTATAGTAAAAAAATAATCTGCTGTTTAAAGTTAGAACTAGTCTGTTAAGCATATTAAAGATGAAGGTTAAAGTTTCATGATTTCTATTACGTGACATTTTTTTTTTAATTGGAAATTTATGTTAATTTCTTTTAAATGGGTTTATATTAATATCTTTTATCATCAACGTCAATATATATAATAAACAACATGATACGCCTGTCGCTTTTTTAAAGAATAAAGTTCAATAACTTCTCAATGTCAAATCAGAAATTTATGAAAAACTAAAAGGAGGTTATCTTAATAGATATAAACCAGTCACCAAAGTTTAAAGCACTTTAAAGATATTGTCCGAAAACTGGAAAATCACCCTTTTTTTATGAATAAAATCCCATATCTCGGAAACGTAAAATCTAAAATTTATATAAACAATTCACCAAAGTTTCATTAAACTGCTGAAAACTTTTTTGAGTTATTGTCTGAAAACTGGAAAATCCCCCTTTTTTTAATGAAAAAAACTCCATAACTCAGAAACATAAAATCTAAAATTTATAAAAATCGAAAGGGAGCTCATGTCAATAGATATAAACAATTCATCAAAGTTTCTTGCAAATTGATGAAAGTGTTTTTGAGTTATTGTGCAAAAACTGGAAAATCTCCCTTTTGTAATGAATAAACGAAAAAAGGAGCTCACGTCAATAGATATGAACAATTCACCAAAGTTTCATGCAAATTGATTAAAGCATTTTTGAGTTACTATTAGACATGTTGACGACGGACGGACGGACAACTGTATACCATAATATGTCCCGTAAAACGGGCGTATAAAAATTATCAAAATATTTCACATTATGAAACATGTTTTTTGATTTACTTTGCTTTAACAATATTTTTACTTTGGCATCCACACTACCCTGAACAATATCAGGAAAGAAACTACAGGAAGTATAATATATAATATTTTTGAATTGAATACAAGTTCACCTACCATCAGATCTAAAACTACTTGGATGACAAAACACAGCTACACATCCTTCAAAGTTAGGTGGAATTGTGTCACTATTGACTTCTTTAAACTTTGACCATGTTCCACCAAACTCTGTTCTTGTGAATAAGAAATCTAAATGACAATGAGAATCTATATAGTTTCCTTGGTGTTTCCTACAATTCTCCATAAACCGTATTTTCCAGTTAAAGGTCCATGATGACTGACTCAGACTGTCAGAATCAGTTTCATTTCGTGTGTTTTTCGGATACATAGCAAGTCTATCTTTAAATGTTTTTTCATTATCCATTAGTTTGCTGTTATTAAGGAACCTCATTCTTGCAGTCATTCCCCGCATAGATACACTTCCACGTTTTAATGTACTTTCTTCATTTTCTTCTTTTTGAGACTGAGAATATTTTTCTGGTGTTTGAGATATTCCTGAGTCTGTTGGACTTGTGGTATTTTGCCTTGATGAGAACTCTGCTTGACAAGATTCATTTGAAAGGCGACTATTGTTTCCAATGTTTGGACTGGGTGGTGTATAGCCAGCTGCTATCATTTCTTGACTGACCCAACCAGGATAAGTGTATGGAGGAAACATCATGGAATAGCCACTCAAAGGGGAATCATTACATGAGTCTGGACTCTGCCAGAATGTTGCATTCCAATGAAGCTTCTTCGGTTTGACATCCCTTTCTGTACTCTCCTGTGATGCCACACTAATAATTTCTGACCCATCATCAGTTAAATCAACCAAATCATTGTCTACAACTGCTTTCTTAGTCTTGTGATATTTAGGAAACTTTTGATTAAGAACAGTTTGCAGTATTTGATAATTACTGATTGTTGAGGAACAATCCTGAAACTTTGATGATCCATCATCTGAGTCCTCTGTAATTTCTCCTTCCTCAATTTCTGGATGGACATCACTTGAACCCCTTGTTTTAGTTTTCTGACAAGATTCTGTGTCAGGTAAATGCTTTGAATGAACATGATTTTTTCTCAAATGTATCTTTTGTTTAAAAGAATTTTCTTCCTCAGAATTTGAATCATGTACTTGTATAACATCATCCTTGCTCTCTTTTAATCTTTTCTCACCCTGTGATGACCTTGAACGATCATCTTCAGATTCCTCTGTTTCACTATAAGAATAGTCCACTAACCTTTTTCTAGGAGTGTCTTTATCTTTACCCAATAATTTTCTAATGGCAGATAAAGGTGATACTTTGTCGCTTGAAGGTTTTAATTTCTTTTCTTTTGGCAAAATTGGTCCAATAAATCCTGGTGAGCCTTCTACAACAACTCCACTGTCATTTTGATCACCATTTTCTATTTCTGACTTATGTCTATATTTCTGTTTAGAGTGTGTATTTTGATTGTTTTTTGGAGAAGTTAAACCATGATAAAATCCTTGTGCACATACTATTGGTGATATAACAGTCCTAGATGACTGTGAACTTTGGACCATGTGAACAGGTACATCTTGAGGTCTTGGCTGAGGACCACGATATGACATTCTACAGTGGGAAATCAATGGCGCACTATGCATCCTGTCCCAAATCTGTTTGGAAGGTGGTGGTGGTGGAACCCCTGGGAAAGGCATTTGTGGTATCATTCCAACTGGATAGATAACTTTCCTGGGGGGACCTGCTAATCCTGGAGGTAACATGGTATTCTCATCTCCACTCTCTACAATAATAGTTCATTGTATTAATTTAATGTTAGATCAATTAGTAAATTTCGTCTTTTCTCTTAGTATGATCTCTTCTGAAGATATGTTTTATTAGACCTTTATATTTAAACTGATATTGGGACCAGTCAGTAATTGTGACTGGATAGTTTTACCTAACACAGGAACACTTTTCTGGTCATACAGTGACACAAAGAGTAATTACTATATAAAGGGCTCAAATTAAACACTAATGTCATATAAAAACAATTATTAGCCAGGGTTAATTGGCAGCCTGACTATCAAGAGTGGAGAAATATTGTAGTCAACTGGGTGAAGTGATAGAACCTGTTCGTCAAATAATACCATTAAACTGCTTACTGCAATGTTCTAAATGAATATGACTGGAAATTACACAACAGAAATTTAATCAAAGTGTGGTTTAACAAAATTTGAATGCATACAGAACAATTTGAACTCCGAGCTATTGCTCATAAATGTAGCCCTGCTATAAGTTTCAGTGAACAGGAAGATGAGCAACTAGACATTATTGAGATGGAAGCCATCTCTGTGGGCCCCGCTGTAAATAACGTGTGGTAAAAAATTTGTATGGATAAACTGATATGAAGCACTTTTTTAAGTTATTAAGAATTGTTATGGACGGACGGACTGACCGACAGACAGACAGACGGACCTTTGACCTAATAAGTTGTACATACATTATGACACAACCTCTAGTGTTGGTTAATATACACGTCAAGTATAAACTTTGAAATCATAACGGTTCTCAAGATATAGAGCGGACATGATCTGTACCATAGGACATGGGGTTGTCAACTGAAACCAAAGTTTTTGACCTTGACCTTTGACCTAGGAAGTTGTACATACATTATGACACACCCTCTGGTGTTGGTAAATATACATGTCAAGTATAAAGTATGAAATTATAACGGTTCTCTGTATATAGAGCGGACACAATTTGTTACGGACGGACAGACTGATCACTATAGCATAAAGGCGGACCCGCCATTAGGCGGGGCCCTAATGAATGTGAAAACACATCAAACAGTATAAAAGACTGCTACGGTAATATAATTGCAGAATACCTAGATGAGAAAAAAAATCATCATGACCATAATGTGTAAGATTATACATGTACAATATATATTCTAAGTAATTAGTAAACAGGAAGCGGAAGAGCAATGAATCAGAAAATGCATCACAAAGTATAACATGCTCACATGAAGCTCAGATTTGTAGGTCCTGAGAAAAAGTTTATGGGACAGACAGACATAAACAAGTATACTCCCTCTCCTCTTTTCCTCATTTTGTATATTCTCTGTATCCTATATTCCATATGGAGATCAGTTGCTAAAAATCTACTTCAATGTATGTTTCACAAGTAACATATTTCAAGTTTGTCTTTATTTTAAATTGACTTTTTAACAAACCTTTTATGTGGGATCGTGTGTAATTATCATGTTCTTTACTTTTCTGGTCTTTGCTTGCTTTGTTGTTGTTGACATCAGGTATAGGTACAGTATGGTAAATACCTTCCATGTCTGAAAAATTTATATAACTTCAATTTATACTAAGATGGATTCCAGTGACTTCTAAATGAAAGAGCAACAAGCATTCTGAGGGTATTACATTGCAGTAAAATATCCCCTACTTGCAAGATTATTGGATGTGTTTATATAAGACAAGCGTTCCATTAAAAGAGAGGTCAGATGGAGTTTCACACAATGTATCATGCCAATCAATGAAGTTCTGTTTACTATATAGTGTTTATAGTGAGCTTATTCTGATTATCATGATTAAGAAAATTGTATGACCTCTGAAAGAGTTTAATGAGAAGCAACATGTTCATGAATCAGACATAATTACTACATGCATTACACATTTCAATTGAAAAGTCAACTTATTATTTTTACGGTTATGCTGATTTCATTGTTCTTTGGTTGCCTTTTTTCTTGACATCAAAATAGGAAATTCAGATGAAAGCAAGAAAATCGGAAGTCAGGATTGCATTTTCACCTAAGAAGAACTGGCAACTCTCATGTTGATTGAAAATAAAAGAAGAATGTGTCCATGGGACACAGATGCCCCCACTTGCAGACCTGCCAACTTTTGAAAATCCCCATGGGGGATTTAGTGCGTGACCAGATTTTTAAGGGTTGACATTTTTGCGGCGTTTCTGTATGCAGTTTTATCCTCTTGAAATAGTCTCATATCTCTTCTTTTTTTTTTTTGGGGGGGGGGGGGGGGGGGGGGGGGGGTAATTGATGATGAGCTAATAAGCCTTGATTTCTTTTATTTGCATGATTCTTGTACTTATTAATTGGCAAAATAACTTAAGAATAGAGAAAAATGGCCAAAAAATTAAAGAATACAAAATAAAAGACCCCCCTTTTCCCCCCTCCAAAGACCTTTTTATCTTTGCACCATGAATCAAAAGACCTAAACCTAAATGTCCTAAAGTTAGAAGGATGGAGACAGATCTTGAGTTAGTTTATCAGTAATGAGTAAATGGATAAAATTTTAGTTATCTTTCTTGGTATTCAAAGGTGCTCAAACTTGCAGAGGCTTATACGCAGAAGTGAATACAATATGGCGTCGGTTTTAAATTAGAACTGGACAGAAACATGTCTGATTTCAAAAACTTCACAGATTTCAAGATAAACGATGTTTCATAATGAGTTCATTATAGTTGTCGCCTTACAGTTAATTATGTTTTTGTCATGATGGCATGGTAAACGTTGCAAAATGTGATTGTATGAAAAATTGATAAAATTGAACTGACCAATTCTATTTACAAATTAATTAATTTTGAGGATCAACATGACCCATCATGCCCATTGGATAAGTAGATTACCTGTATCAACAAATTATGACACCTGTTGTGGCTGTTGATTAACTTTGGGTCGTAAACTTGTCATAAATATGTCGCCAGGTAAACTTATAGATTTACAGAAATTGATCAGAAAAACTTCAAAATCAGTAACCAACAATTTTTTCTGGTAGATTTTGTGAAAATCAGGATTTTCACTTGTTTTAAAATAGGTCTGCGCTTGTAAATATACAAGTCATTGTACTAATTCAAACCAATTGACAATTAATTCAGCAATTACTCCATTTATAAAGGGACATAACTCAAGAACAGTGACAGTGACGCCACCCAAATCATATCTTGATCTGTGTTTAGTGGTTATAAGCATTATGCATAAGTTTCATAACATTTGGTTGAGGAAAACTAAAGTTTGAGTGCAGATATGGCAAAATTAACAAATTGTCTATTTATAAAATGACATAACTCAAGAACAGCAATGAACGTTGAAAGTGACGCCACCTTAATTTGAAATTGATCAGTGTTTGGTGGTAATAAGCATTGTGTATAGGTTTCATAATTTTTGGCTGAGGCATGTTAAAGCATGTAAAGTAAGAGAACAAAAACCAATTTTGGGCCGTACGGATGGACAAGGGTCAACCTAAATATAAAAAAATAATTAACACGTCAGGAAAAGGATAAATCGACTAGGAATTAGAGAAATATTGTTTCACACTCGAATTTTGAAATACAGCGATTTCTGATTTGTAGCTATGTTTGACTCTATAATTCCAATATGTACCTTCAAAAGGATACTGTAGCCAGTAATCTTGGCAAGTCCTGATCTCACATAGTCGTGGAATCTGACACATACAAGTGTGCCATACCCAGTACTGTTGAACAGAAGGATGACAGTTGCAGGTTGATAAATCTGGATAGAAGTAGCTCATATAATGATTATCAACATCCTTTTCACAAGTATTTTGTTTTGAATGTGATTCTTCTTTTGCTTTGTTACACCCATCCATATTAGAATTAACAAAATCTCCTGTATCATGTGTACAAGGGATGATGTGCTGATCATTTTGCACTTGACAGTCTTTTTCACTCTCATCTAGTGTAATGTTCTCTGTAAAATGTCCATCCAGAATTTCATCTTCAATGTCATTTTTATTGACATCTAACTGCCCTGACTCACTGTTTTCATAATCAGACATGGTGGGAACTCCACTAAGTGTACTTTGTGATTTAGGGCTAAGTAATTCACATTGAGGCATAGATGACACAGATGCAGAATCACACTCCACATTCAAATGCCCTAAATGTACATCAATGAAGTTCTGGTTAATTATAGTCTGAGGTGCCTTACATATTTCCTGGTTTACCTGATTTATGTCCATCTGTTGATCAGTTGTTGTTATTTTTTTAAATAAATTCTCTTTATCAAGATTCTCTTGATTCTCATCCAAGCTATCAATATTTATCAAACTACTTTCCCAATCCTCTGGAGAATGATTTTCTCTCTTTTTAGACTGATTATCACTATCCGTCTTTTCATTAGAATTCAGTTCGAACTGATTCTTAACACTAAAGCCTCTTCTTTCCTGTACTAACACTTTCTTGTCTTCAACATTTATAAATTTACTCAAATTACATTGAAAATCTGGTGACAAACAACCTCTCCCTTTTGCAAATCTTGGAATAAAAGATTTCGTATAACTAGGCTTCTTGACTCCATCACTATCAGGTTCAGCAAAGTTTGGTGACACCTGTTCAGTCTGATAATTATCTGGTTTCTGAAGATGATATGGTAATGGAGTCTGCTGTGCTTGACACTTTTTAACAGTCAAATATGAATGACTGACTGGAACAGGTGAAAGTTTGGGTCTGACTGTTTGTTCAGTCACTCTAACATTTAACAGCTTTTCTGTCTGTATGCAGGCTGATCGATGATCTTGTACTTCGAATACATCACTTGTAGACTCTTCTTCTGTTAGGCTGCGATCAGATATTATGTACTGATCAACAGGAACAAGATCTGATTCCCAGTCTTCCTCCTGTCTTACCAGAGAATGAGGATCTGATGCAACGGTCACTTTTCCTCTCCCTATCATTGGAACTCTGTTAACATTAGATGTTTTGTCATCTACATCCAACTGACATTGCCATTGTTTTTGTTCCTCAAGTAATAAATTCCTTTCAGTTTCTTTATGTTTAAAGTTTTGAACAAGTTCCTTAATTTGCATATATGGACTGCTTGAAAGACTATGAGATCTCTTGTTTTGCTCCAGAGCGGGTAAACCACTTATACTGTATGAAGGGAACCGTTCCAGATCTTCGTCAATATTATCATTCCTTTGTGTCCCTGTTTTACAGCTTTTGTCACATTTTATATCTTTCACTTTTTGTTTAATCAAAGTATCATAAATGTCCCCATGAGCTGAAACGTCACTTTCAAACTCTTCTCTAGCCTGAACATGTGTACAATGTTTATTTTCAGCTTTCTGTGAGTCATGTATGTTTAAAGCATTCAAGTCTTTATTGTCTTTTCCACCACTATGACTTCTTAATTCACTTTCTTTATTTGATTCAATACTAATGTCACTATCTTCTGAAAATATTCTAATGGATTCACATTCAGAAATATCACTCATTTCAAAAGTTTTGTAACTTTGTCCTAGGTCTGAAGTTTCATTGTTTCTACTAATGTCAGATAATTCTAAATTATCACGAAATTTTTCACATATTTTTCCTTTTCCACATCCTTCAATGTTATTAACAACTTGTTTTATTTCATCAGTTTTACATAAAGGTTCAGTATCAATTTCACTTTTTTCTTTATCAGTTTCAAAAGGTTCATCAATAACATATTCATTTTCATTATGGTCATGTTCATGATCTGTTTCTACGAGATCAGACAAAGTTTCATGTTGGATATCATGTTTTCTGACATTTTTGTCTTCTTCATTTTCAGCAGTAGTCATGGTAGTTATTTGAGAACTTTCTTCTACACACTGTCCCATATACTTTTGTATTTCCAAAGAATACCCTATTTCATTAGACTCCTGTTCATGATCAGTACATGTAAGTGTTAGGTTATTTATGTTTTCATTATGTGGTTCAATTTCATTAATCTGAGATGATGTGTTCAATTCATGTTCAAGGTCAACAAGATTAAATTCAGTATTCCCACTATCTCTAGCAGAAGAAACTGCATCTAAAGAATGCTTTACATCATCTTCCATATTTTCTCTTTCAACAGATTCAACATGTTCTTTTTTAATTATATTATGATTAGCATTTTCAGTAAGTTCTGTCTGAATAAATTTTTTATTTCTTTTGTTATATTCAGTTTGCAATAAATTCATATCAGCTGTATTCTCAAGGTGTTCATTCCTAATTTCACACTCAGATTTGTCAATGACAGATAGATCAACAGTGTCTTTACACATATTATATAATCCTTCAATACTATCACTTGTCCATCTTGTTTCTACTGAATTCAGTTTATCCAATTCCTCAATACTACAGATCTCTGAATCATTTCTGATTTTATTTGTGATCTTATCTTGCTCTATATAATCACTATTCTTAACAGGAACTTCCAATGTTGATATGGATACCGCAACTTGGATGAGATCTTGACCATTATTGCCATGAGAAGACAGACCTTTCTTTGGATAGTTATCTGGAATCCACTTTTCTGTTTCAATCTTTTCAAAGTTTTCATTTTGA